ATATATTTTTACTTCTGATACTCGATTCAAAAATTGAATAGTTAATTTCTAATTAGAAAATTTTTAATTAGAAAATTCGCACTACTTACTTTGCACAAATTTACATTGAAAAGCGTTTGTATAATAATTAAGAAATTTGTCAACCTCTGAATTCGAAAAATCTAAAGCTTTTGAATAAATGGAAATCTCAAATAAAAGGAGTGCAGAAACAAGTAGTCTACTGTCCCTACTACGAAGCTTTTCTGGAAGTAATTGCCAGAGTCTATTTTTTTTTAAATGCAAAAAAATTCAAGGAATCCAATGGTGCAATTTGCACGCAAAATTTCGTTGCCGATTTTTTTTTATTTATAAAAAACTGTTGCAAAAAATGTTTCAGCTGACTTTAATCAATATGTGCGGAAATACTTTTCCCGTGAAGTTGTTTAAACGTTATTTATATAAAAGTTCAATGTTTTCTGAATACATTGGTCACAAATTTTTTATAAAAATATTCATTTTTAATAACAAAATAATAAAATTAAATAAAAAAATACTTGCCTAACAGCTGAGCTTGTTACCGACACAATCTGCGCAGCTCTTGAGTGGGGAAAGTTGCGCGCGCCGCTGGGTCCGTTTGAATTGCCACGGCAAATGACAAGTAAAATTTTCAATTAATTTTTTTTTTATTATTTAAATAATACTGTTTTTCAAAAATTATTCTCAGAATTATTTTAAACTTTAAAGTTGTATGAAAAAAAATATTTTTTTCAGTGAAAAATTATTATTGACTTTTGTAAAAAATGTTTTTTTAAACTAAGCATGATATTTCTTACTGTGATTTTAACATAATTTTACAGAGTAACTTATAATTATTTTTGGTTAGGAATTTTATTTTAAGATTTGTGATTAGAAAGTATTAAGATAATTTATATTTAACGATGAGTAATAATAATTAAAAAAATATTAAGAAAAATTTTCTAATTTTGTCATTGAATAGTTAAGTATTAACAACGAAATTTAATACTTATATAATATACATTTATATTTTTTATTATTTATATAATAATTTTTGAAAAACAGTATGATTTAAATGATAAAAAAAAAATTAATTGAAAATTTTATTTGTCATTTGCCGTGGCAATTCAAACGGACCCAGCGGCGCGCGCAACTTTCCCCACTCAAGAGCTGCGCAGACTGTGTCGGTAACTAGCTCAGCTGTTAGGCAAGTATTTTTTTTTATTTAATTTTATTATTTTGTTATTAAAAATGAATATTTTTATAAAAAATTTGTGACCAATAGATTCAGAAAACATTGAACTTTTATATTAATAACGTTTAAACAACTCCACGGAAAAAGTATTTCCGCACATATTGATTAAAGTCAGCTGAAACATTTTTTGCAACAATTTTTTATAAATAAAAAAAAATCGGCAACGAAATTTTGCGTGCAAATTGCACCATTGGATTCCTTGAATTTTTTTGCATTTAAAAAAAATAGACTCTGGCAATTACTTCCAGAAAAGCTTCGTAGTAGGGACAGTAGACTAAAGATTTTCTCGTTCGAACAGTTCAATAATTTTAGAAATTAGTTAATTTTCAATAGCTCTGAGTTTTAAAGTATTTGGAACCTCTTGGAATGGCCTACTCAGTCACCGCTGTTATGTAGGTTCGTTAGATATCTATCTATTGCATTGGTCTCATTTCGGATGTGATGGGGTTAATCGCCATCTTGGTCGCTCCAAATAAAATTTGTTTAGAGCGTCACTGGAGTATTATCTTGGTCTCCAGAGCCGGACCAGAGCAGAGAAAAATTTATCCTTTGGGTAGTGAGAGAAATTACGAAAGGAGCTGTAAATAATCTTAGGCAGAATTCGTTAGAAAAAATTACAAATTTAGTTAACCGTGTCCAAATTTTACAATAATAGTAAATCCCCTTATAAAATAAAGACAAAATTAACTACGCGTCCACCGGACCTCTACGTAATATTAAAATTCGCGCGACCACTCAGATCCTTCACGATTTAATTATTTACTACACACACATAAAATTCGCTTAGATGACCTTGGCTCAATACTGTAATTAAATAAAATGTGGTACGAATCCAACGAATTGTTAATTAATTAATTTTAGAGAATTTCTTAAATTCTTTTTTTCAACTAATAATTACAAAACTAACTCTTATAATAATTTATTAAGGACCTCGGGAACCTGGTTGGGTTTAACCAAGATTTTCTAAATTGACGAGTCTCCTGGTCTATTTTATTTCCAAGGTGACCGCTAAAATAACTAACTCTGTACCTGGAAAATTTCTACGAGGAACTGCTGCGAGAAAACCGTGTGTTCTATTGTTGCATTTGGATGTGGATTCCGCAAATCAGCTAAACCGTTTTCCTTCTCCGCTCGTGTCAACACGTACAGCCTCAAGTGATTTTTCTTTTCCGGCGTCTTGGATTGAAATTAATTTTCCTATAAGAGCAAATGAGTTAGCGGTGTTGAATATATAATTATTATAAAATCTTAGCTAAATCATCGCTTCGTTCCACAGAAAAACGAAACGAGGACCAGGATATTTACCTTGATGTTTTTATTCCGGTGGTGAAGTTACTACTTCTCGTGGCGATCTCTCAATGCCGGCACCGATTCGGCACGAAGTTTACTCGGAATAATGATAGCTAAACAATAGAAGCTAAAGAATAGCGGAATAATAGAAGCTAAACAATAATTGTGGTGCCATTTTTATCAGTTAAAAAAGCGTTTATAGTCCGAATTTCAATCGATTATCAAAATTTTATAAGGAGCATAATATTAATTAGGAAAAAAACATCATGTGTATAAATCATAGTATATTACACCCCTTGGGAAGGAAAATAAGAAAAACCTCAGATCACATGTAATTGTTGGCCGAGGCGAAGCCGAGGTCAACAAACATGTGATCTGAGGTTTTCTTTTTTACTTCCTAAGGGCTGTATACTATTTTTTTGTCCGATGAAGGCGGAAAGGGCAACTTTGTTTAGCACAGCGGTACGAAAGTTGCCACTTTCCCCCGGAGGGGGAAAAACAAAATTTCTTTTATTATCATGCGAATGCTAATTTGTGATTTTGGATTTTCTAAATTTTGATTTATATTGAAATCGAACATCGATTAAAAAATAATTTTTTATTACAGTACTCAACCAACTCCACGTGCTACTCAAAATTCTCAACCAATACATTCAACCACTGTTCATTCCCATAGTAATTCCCATAACACTACTCGAGTTTCACGTAAAAACGTCATTAGTTGTGTAACTGTCGGTGACAGTGATGGCGAGGTGAGTCCTGGTAGAGCACATGCATATTTGCATCAACAAACTCATATACCCCAACTACCACAAGTTCAACAAACAACTCAACACATTAAGCATGAACCACAGCTACAACATCACGTTAGGTTTGTACTATTTTGTTTTCATTATTTGTTTCGTTAATGTACACATAAAAATGGTAATCTATATTTTTTCAATTATATAGCTCCGGGTATTCTCAACAATCCCAAAAGAAACGATTATTAGCAAAAGTTCAATCTGAGTGTAACATGATAAATATTGCGACAAAACCTGAACCTGGTGTGGAATACTTGGCTCCTCACCCATGTCATGCACCATCATGCAAAGAAGCTCCAACTTATCAGGTACCTTTATTTTTAAATAAAATTAAGAAAAAAAATTTTTACAATAGACCCAAATATTTGGGAAGTTGGGTAATATTTCCACGGTGTTTCCAAAATGATTATATTCTTTCAACAACTCCAGTAAATAATTATTAGATATGATCTGGCTGGATTATACATTAATATGTATGATTATGCTCGAAATGATAATTAATATTAGGCTTGATCCTAAAATAAAATTGAGACGAAATATATGTGAAGCCAATTTATTCGTAATGTGATTGGTCAAATATATCATAAGCATAAAAATATATATAATTCTATACTCACATTCAGGCGCACTCACGTTAAATCTAGTAAGATTTATAAAGTTAACTTAGTATGAAAATATCGAAAATATGGTCTCCGATTCCTTACTGATGAAAACTAAAATTCACGCAATTTAAACTTTTATTACTTATTAATAATAATTACCTTTACTATAAACTAATAATGATAAGTTATTATTATTAGTTTATAGTAAAGGTAAACTTTCATGAGATTTGGAACGAATATAAATGCGCTCTGAGATCTCAAAGATAGCGATTTTTTTTATCTCACCGATTTGATAAGGGAATACTACTAATCTCGACATGCAAACAAATGTTTTGGAATTACATTCTTTGAAAGTATATATTGAGCTAAAATGAGCTATATCTAAAGAATATCGGGTAAAATGTATGAAATGGGCTTCTCAATTGAGGTGATTCATTGGTTTCAATCCTATCTCACGGGTAGGTAGCAATCAACGCTTAACCTGGACAACTCTTCATCCAATTTCATCAATACTATCTCTGGTGTTCTTCAAGGATCTATCCTAGGACCCATCCTCTTTCTAATTATTATAAATGAAGTGACTAAACGGCTAAAATACTCGAAGCATGGACTCTATGCAGACGACAAATATGCTTATCTTCATTTTAAGCATTTCCATTGAATGATGCAGCAAACAAACTTATGTCTGATAGTAATGCGGTAGTTGACTGGGCGAAGGAAGTCGGTCTTGAAGTAAATTTTCATAAAACTAAAGTTATGATACTAGGGAGTAATAAAAAACTAAGAAATCTAAACAACTGTGATTTGCCTCAAATTATCATTGACGGTAATGTTATCCCTTATGTAAACTCAACCAAACACTTGGACATACACCTAACTAATAATCTCTCTTGGGATACCCATGTGGCTCACATTACTCGTAAGGTCTATGGTACATTAAACTGTCTAAAACACAGAAGAAACATACTCTCTACTTCAACACGCAAACTTCTAGTCATGAGTACCATAATTCCAATTATCGAATACTGTTCCATAGTATTGATTGACTTATCCAAAATGCTAGACTACAAACTTCAACGTCTTATAAACAACACCATCAGATTCATCTTCAATTTGAGAAGTGATGAGCATGTCACTCCCTACAGGCATTCACTAAACTGGCTCACGTTTAAATCTAAACTAATGTACTCGTTAGCGTGCTTCATCTACAAACTTCTAAAATCAGGTGAACCAAAGTTCCTTAGAAGTTTCTTCGTTGAAGAATCCACAGATATCAGAAGATCGGAAAGAATTGCTGCTAAACAAATCAACATGTCTTTTAAAATGCCTAACTTCTCAACTACTACCTTTGAGCATTCCTTCATAATTTCTGCGATCCGAATTTGGAGGGAATTATCATTTGAAGTCACAAATTCACTTAGCCTAAATACTTTTAAAACTTTTGAATTCTTCATGAAGCGTGAACGAGACAATGAATCTTAATTTCAAACCTTTAAACGAAACAATGAATCCTAATTTTCAAACCTTTGATATTCATTCACACTTTTTTGTTACATGAGTTTATCATTCTAGATCATCTTAGATTATCATCTTTTATAATTTGTACCACTGAGTTTAACTCTTAAATTTTTAATTCTCAATTTTTATACTCAAATTTATACTTTTCTTGTATTTTTAATAATTATATTCCAAATTTAAGAAAGACGATTATTTCTTAATATTTAAAATTTTTGAAATTTTATATCTTCCCTAGCGGTTTCGGTACCACCGATAAAACTCTGTAGAAACTCGTCCGAAACTCAGCGTAACGATGGAGTATAGTCGGCGTATATGGGGAGTAAACTCGGAGTATTGTGTGCAGTTGTGACATATGAAGACGATAGTGGTTAATTGGTGTTTAATTGAGATCGTTACGGAGTTTGGTTGAAATTTCGCTGGTGTTCTCATGAAGTTTTCCCCGAGTTTTATTAGTGTTTTTTCGGATTTTCTGTCGAGTTTAGTCGGCGTCTTCACCGAGTTTTTGTGGAGCTTTCCAAGAGTATTTTGCGAGTTTCATCGGAGTTTTCTGATGGATAATGAATGAAAAACCGAAAAAAATAATTTGGACAGACCGGGACTCAAACCTGGACCCCATTTAATTACAAATCAAGGGCTCAACCGGTCAAACTATCTGAGACATTGTCCGTATCAACTATTCAGTCACCTAATAAGACCCACCAAGTAATAAACAACACTGTCTATCTTACTGAAACCAATTAAAGCTTTGAATCGCTTTATGTATTGATAAAATTCTAATTTTAGTTATGATAATCTTGTTTCAGTGTATCAACTGTAAACTTTTGACAATTTTTTTGTCATTTTTTTTATATATCATATATTTTACTTATAAACTTTATAATATATTCATTAAATAACATATTCTATGTAGATAAATATATTTCAACTTGTAAATAAATAAATAAATTAATAAAAAGTACACTGTAATTGAAAAATAATTTATTTATAGTCATCTTTGTGAAATCAAAATTAATTTTCATGCCATGAAGTATTATTAATCGTGAGTAAACTCCACAATAACACTACCAAAACTCCGAAAAAACACAAGCGAAACTCTTATAAAGCTGCGCAAAACATCGAAAAAAACTCGACAAAAACTCCCTAGCAACTCCGAAAATACTCATCAAAAACTCGACGATAACGTCAAAAAAACTCCAATGCAACTCCGAAAATATTCGTCAAAAACTTCTCGAAAACTCCAATAATACACTTTTGTGACTCCGTGTCATAACTGCACACAACACTCCTTGTATACACCTCTAAAACTCCGCGTAAACTCCGCTTATACCCCGATTAAACTCCGAGAGGGAGTATACTCCATAGTAACTCCGCGTAAATTTCGAGTTTACGCTGAGTCGTCGAAACCGCTAGGGCTCATTATTCATACGTGTACTTTTATTGTATACTTTTGCCATTTGGCTTTACTGCCTTGGCATTGAAACTAAATAATAAATAAATAAATAAAATTGAATATTTTGATATCAATTTGGGAATGTTAATTTTACTGAAACTCATATTCTACTTAAGTCAGTCATAAAAAAGTGTTAAATCGTTTAGATACGTATAACATTTTTCCTTATATACCTGACGATATAACAAATAAATCGTGACGGGAAACAATCGATTCAGAATTTTAGTTTTCAAAAACTGAATGTTTGAAAAACCAGTAAAAATAATTTTCTTTTAAAACTTTAAGAGGTTCGTTCTTATGATCTATAGCATCCAGAAAATTTGAATTTGGTACTTAGGGATAATTTTTCAGGTACTTAGAGATTCGTGACTTTTGTTAGATTTGAGAGCCCTCATATTTATTGTATTTTTTTTAAGCCATTTATTGAAAAAAATAACTCAAGAAATTGCAAGGATTTTGTCATTCTTATTCTTAATCTTATTCGGACATATCACCTCAATAGTGTACAAATTGTTCCCAAAAACTAATAGAAACTAGGGCTATTCGAGCGTTAAAATATTCACGATTCTGTCGTAATATTTCAAGGTTTTATTCACGTTTTATTAATAGTGCATAGTTGAGGTTGGCAATAGCCTAGTCGGCTCGGTGCCCGCTTTTCGAAAGAGTGGGACCCGGGTTCGATCCCGGCACGCACCAATATTTTTCAGTAATTATAAATAAAAAATATGTGCGTTACGTTGCTGGCCTCTGGAGGTGGCAGAGATAGCCGGGCGGCACACGTCTGACTTGGGCGATCATCCATTTAAGCAACAACTTGAATGAGTGACCACTCTAGTCAGCGTTGGCTAGCGCGAGGGATTTCTGCACACTAGGAGAGGGGCCTAATGCTCCAGTGGTCGATAAAGAAGAATTTCTTATCAATCACTGTAGACTTAACCCAGCTTCGACTGTACTAACATGGGTTTTCTCTGTGGTTTCCCCATGTTTCTGTTCCAATTCCCGAGTGGTGAGGACCAGGGTGAATACGGTACAGAAGGCACAAGTCGGTCCACAGCCGCATTAAAAAGTGTGTTTTGGGAATGAAAGAATTCCGACATGCAGGGGGGTGGGGTTGAAGAGTAGGTAGTAAGTGAAGTCATATATAACCATTTATAAGTCTATATATAATTAGATATGATCATACCTGGCTGTTATAACTCCATATATAATCATGTATAAGTCTGATGGGGTATTCCATGCCAAATCGACCACTTTTGACCCCGACCCTTTTCGATTTGGCCGAAAGTTTTCCATCCTTTTCTACCCTATAAAAAACGGTTCTCAGAATTTTTTTGAATTTTTTTACCTAACTCCAAAAAAGTTATGAATTTTTCAAAAAAATGGCTTTTTTATTTTCAAATAGCCATAACTTTTTCAAAACTAAACATTTAGGTACCTTTTTTTTTTCAAAATTTTTGTTTTTAGATGTACTTTCCGATAAAAAATATTAAAAAATTTTTGTAAGTCAATACATATGGAATTTTTCAGTTTTTTGACAAAAATCAATGCTTTTTCGAAGTTCGAAATTTTTTTTTTTAATTTTTTTTTT